ATTTCGGCCTATGTACACAAGTCCTCCCTTGTGGTTTATCCCTCGCTGAACACATGCCGGAGGGCGAGTGCCATATTTGCACTCTAAGTTATGACAGCATCTCGACTGCAGATAAAACTTCACCTATTTCTCCATCAGCTCACAGTGTCTCAACAAAGACGATTGCACCCAACTTACCGAAACAACAAACTTACGAACGGCCTTTCCTCCTTGAATCTTTTTGAGACATCTTCGATCTCGGGGATCACTCCCTTGGCCAGAAGTCTGTTGTCAAGCATCACATTGATACAGGCGATACGAGTCTCATCCATCGACAACCCTAATGCGTTTCCCATGTTGAGCGGTGCATCCTCCAACAGGAGGTCGACAAAATGCTTTCTTGAAATACCATCGAGCCTCCCTGCAGTTCTTGAGATTCCCTGTAGTGCTTGTCAAAAAGAAGGACATCAGCTGGAGATTTTGCGTCGACTATCAGCATTTAAACAAGGTCATGAAGAAGGACGTCTATCTTTTGCCACGCATAGATGATGCCCTTGATTGCCTTCACTGATCAAAATATTTTTTCTCCATACCTTCGCTCCGGCTACTGGCAAATTGCCGTTGACAACATGGGCTGCGAGAAGATCGCGTTTGTCACTCCCGATGGCCTTTACTAGTTTGAAGTGATGCCATTTGGTTTACGCAATGCGCCGCTACGTTCAAACGTATGATGGACGGCCTGCTGCACGGCTTCAAGTGGTCCATCTGCCTGTTATACCTGGACGACGTCATCGTTTCTTTTCTACTTCTTTTTTTGATGCACCTTGAAAGGCTATCAAAAATCTTATCTGTTTTTAGTACGGTGGGACTGCAACACGATTAAGGAAAGTTCCACTTCGGCTGTCGTGAAATTTTCGTGCTTGGACATCTGGTTAAATCCTAGGGCTGCGCCCTGATCAAAATAAAATACGGGCAGTAAAAGATTTCCAAGTACCTATCTGAAACAAAGACGTTCGCAGTTTCTTTGGTCTCTGTTCTTCCTTCCGCCGCTTTGTTAAAAACTTCGGCGACGTCGCACGCCCTCTAATCCAACTCCTCACAAAGACACTGGCTTCATCTGGGGCCCCGAGGAAGCAGATGCGTTTCAAAATCTAGCGTGGCTTCTTACTTCTCCTCCTATCTTCGCTCACTTTGACATCTCAGCTCCAACAGAAGTTCGTAAAGACGTAAGTTGCTATGGCATCAGTGCAGTCCTGGCCCAGAAACAGCAAGGACATGACCGTGTTGTTGCCTATGCCAGCCGCCTTCGTTAGCCTGTTGAGAGAAAATATTCAAGAACTGAACGCGAATGTCCGGCACTTGTTTTGGCAGACCGGAAACATCGTCCCTATTTGTATGGTCGGCGATTAACAGTCATCGCTGATCACCATGCCTTGAGATAGCTTTCGTCCCTGAAAGACCTTTCAGGTCGTCTTAGCCATTGGGTGCTGCGCCTTCAAGAATTTGACTACTCAGTCCTGTACAAAACCGGCCACTTGCATCAACATGCCGACTGCTTGTCCCGATAGTCGACGCTTCCGACGGCAACTCCTCTACAACCACCCTTCTTGCCGACCTTCTCTGTTTATACGCATTTCATGACAACTGAATCGAGCAGTGACGGGATACTTTCTTGGACGGTATTATCCGAAGGTTAACATCGGTGACGCCCGACCCTTTCTTTTGAATGTTTGAGGTACGTGATGGTGTATTGTACCGTTGCACTATGCGTCCTGACAACGCAAAAAGACTGCTCGTCGTTCCCCGTCCATTGCATCAGACTCTTCTCACCCACCTTCATGATGCACCGATAGCAGGTCAGCTCAGCGTGTCACAGACCAACGACAGAGTTCGCCGGCGCTTCTTCTGGCCTGGTATGTACCGTGACGTCTGCCGTTGTGTTGCAGCCTGTGACCCTTCCAAACAAAGAAAAAAAACCAAATCCTTCCTGCCAGACGTCATCAGCTACTGGACATCCCACGAACCCCAATCTACTATGTTGGCGTGGACCTGCTTGGCCATTTATTTTCCTACGTCAGCTGCGGGTAATCAGTAAATCCATCGTGAACTTATTTACAGCGCAACACCAGAAAAAATACAGGACGGGAAGGAGCAAAAGAAAGGAAAAGATATATTGTTGATTGCAGTAGCAACCGAATATACTGCCCGATACGCGGTCACGCAGGGCCGTTCCAACCAGCTGTGCAAGTGATGTGGACGATTTCCTTTTGGAGGACGTCATCCTACACCCCGGTTCCCCTCGACAACTCTTTACCGACCGAGGCAGCTGCTTCCTTTCCAAAGTGGTTGGAAATCTCATCCACTCTTGTGCAAATTAACACAAGCTTTCGACCGCTTACCATCGACAAACAAATGGTCTAACGAAGTGCCTCAATTGCACTCTCACCGACATGCTATCTATGTATATTTCCACCGATCACTGCGACCGTGATACTACGTTACCATTTGTAGGATTCGCGTACAATTCCTCTAGAGACGACACCACTGGGTTCTCTTCTTTTTTGTTGTTCGGCCGTAACCCTGCGCTACCTTTCGACACGCTTCTACCGACTGGACTAAATGACACATCTGAGTACGCTCGGGATGCATTATTGAAGGTGCAAGTGGCACGTGAAGCTGCTCGACGACGACCACTGGACTTTCAGGACCATGCAAAAGAGTGTATATGACGCCCGCCATCGTGATGTTGACTTCACATCCGGCAATCTCGTTATGCTCTGGTACCCCTCGCACCACCTTGGACTTTCGCAAAAGTTACTCCCACGCTATTCAAGTACCTGCCACATATTACGCCAAGTAAGTGACGCCCTTACGAAATCGCCCCTAGGGACTCCGCCGTCATTCACGCTCACACTGACATTGTACATGTTACGCTATTCAAACAATATCACTTCAGTGCCTCCTGATTAGCACCGGGTTGGTGCTCCCGCCGCCAGGGAAATCGTGTAACGGGTGCACGAGAATGACGAAGAGGACAGGGAAAAAGACGACGTGGTCAGTCTCTACGACCCAGCTTGACGCCTTCTTGTCCATCCCGAGTTCATTCTGTATTTTGTCCAGTAAAGTTATTCTCCCCGTAACAATATTGCTGATGCTGGTCCGACCCCAGTCTATATACTAAACAACTGTGTTTTCCTCATTTTCACATAAATGGACTTGGTCCCTTCAGACGACGAAAGAACTTCATTCATGTTTTGCATGTTACCTGCACCATGACCACTTGCTAAACATAGTCTGCACAGGCAACTTGTTTCCTCCATATTACAATAAGAAAAGCTCGGTTTGTTCAAGTATCAACTGCAAAGAACTCGTCAGCTTTTATTACTTGAACTCACTATTATTTTGTAAATAATATCTTGAGAAATTTATATGCACTTCAGAGGTACATGTTTGCACTGCACAACAAAATACACGCTAGTGTATTGCAAGGGTTAGGCAAGAAATATTTGGCACACAATTCTAGAAACTGCCTACAAATGGGCTAAGAAGTACGCAAAAAAGTATAACTTATTCAAAATACTTGAAGCACTTGTTTGCGTGCTTAGGATAAAGAGGCATGTATAGAAAGAAACCTTATACAAATGGCTCACCTTTTCGAGTGCGATCGGGTTTACTTGCAGGTCTTGCCGCACTCTTCGAAATCCCGACTGTCCTGCATGACGCTCTTGCAGCAAGTGGTATGCTTTTTTTATTGTTGTTTTCATGAAATTATCACTGAAGTGAGCTCATACTTAATCTTTTTTTTAATTATCCGCCTCTTCACGTTTACAAATGTTTACGCGTGTAAGTTCTGAAAAAAAAATGCAAGAAACCCGGCTGCAAGCCAACGAGCCCTTTTTATAAGTGAAAGCTCTCTACATCTTCTTTCGGGACAGCCAGGTTTTTATATATTCAGATATAAAGGGCGATTTCTGAAGGTAGTCGCACGTCTTTGTGGTCTTTCTTGGTAGACGCAGGTGCGCAAAACACGTATGTCCTATGACCCATCCACAAAGCTTTATATGCACGCTATATTTAGTCTTCTTGAAAGAAAAAAAAAAAGACATACGGGCATTCCGAGTTACTTGGAATAGATTTGTGTATTATGACGCATTGCTCTCTGGGCAGAAAACTCCCGCTGTATAGCTAACCTTTCGAAATATTACATTATGATTCTTTAATTCTATCGTGTTTAGTGAAAGTACAGAAGTGTATTTGTACGCTGCATACTTTAAATTAGGAAACATATTGGCACTTTTCTAACAAACCGTTCCGCATGGCATCTTGCTGTCATTTAATTACTCATATTTCGAGCTTTCTTAGCTTGTTCTCGGAGACAATAAAATTGACTTCAAATATCGTTATTGAAAACAGTCATATTCCTATCAGTCTTTGGTAATTTGGAGTCACCCTTTTTTATATCAAGTAATTCGGAGTCTTTCCGGCAGATGCAAATGCTAAACGCTTCAGGTGCCGACCCCTTCCAGCTCACTAGAAGTGTAACTCGAAGATTCACGAATATATTATTTAAAGCAAGAGACTCTAAACAGAAAGAAATGTTGCAAACACAATTATATGATTAGAACTTTGATTCACTTCCAGTGACTTAAAGACAGTGACCGTTGTGTCCTGTCGTATGCGTGCCTTATGAAGTTTTTTTTGTTCTGGCACTGTGACATAATTGTTCAATATGAACTTATCCAGTTCACGGCGCTGCTGAACAATATCCCTCCATTACTTTGTGTAAAAAACAAAGGCATTAGTAAAGCGTTGAGCCGACAAAGTCATATGGCGGCCCAGAAAATGTAACGTAGCTTTTTTTCCCATAATTTTTCATATCCAAATAAAAAATAAAAGTGTATTAGCTGCTGCAAAAAGTAAAAGATGGTTTTACACTGTAGTGTGTATTCAACCTGAAGAAGCACAACAGTAAACAGTTTGGCAATCTCTTTAATATACATTTCATCAGCACCAGTAAGAAGGACTTTCTTATGTAGCGGCTACTCAACTTTTATGAAGCGGAACCTGGCGGGCTTCTGTGGCCGACCTATACGCTGTGAAAGGAAGCCAATGTCGCCATGGTGGTTTTCCACTCTGAATTCTTTCAGTATCTGTGAAAGAGAAGTTCCAGAATTTGTATATAATGACGAACTAATTGCCACGTGGTCGTGACGCTGACGAACGCAGCAGTCGGCTTTTCCATGTTAAGACTCCTTTTTTTTAGGCAATCTTGTGCTCTAGAAACAAAATTTCATGCTACAGCAGTGCGTACTGTGCACTGATAGTGACTATCAGAACGTCGGCCGCCAATAGGGAGTTTTATAATGCCTTTTTCAAGCGCTGCGGGCGTTGCGGGCGACGCGGGCGCCATAATAGCTTTAGAATAGCGTTTGCCCTGCTGCGAACCGCAACGCACGATCGCAGCGACACCGTAACCTCAAAACCAGCACTTGCAGGCCACATGTGGGCCGCCATCACCTTAGAAGTATGGCAGCTTGGGCTAGTTGGTATGGCATGACGATAGTTATAGCGCGAGAACAAAACGACGACACAAAGAAGAGAAGCGCTGGTGTCTTTCGTGTCCTTCTTGTCTCTGTGTCGTCGTTTTCTTCTCGCGCTATAACTATCGTCCGCCATCACCACTCGTATCCTCGAAACCAGCGCTTGCGGGCCAATGCGGGCCGCCATCACCACACGCAACTTCGGATTTTCCGCGTGCGGTCCACGAACGCGAACGCCCACTCGCGTTACGACGCATGCGCAGTGGCAGCGACTGGACCGCAAGGGCTCGCTGTGCGCTATTCTAAAGCTACCCAGTAATTTGATCTCCGGTGAGCAGTGTCGGCTTGTATATAGGCAGTCACAAATTCTTACAGACCACGCGAGTGCGTTCCAAACTGCCTGTCGACAACACCTAGCGGTGCGCCGTGCAAGCCATAGACCACTGCACTGGACCAGAAAAGGGTGTTTTATTATCTGGCGTAAACATTTCGGCTGCTCTGCAGCACATTGTCTGTTCTTTGTCTTCCCGCAATGCACTTATCTGCGGTATGAGCATCACGCTGCTACATTTATTGCGGAGTTAAAGCTACCACGGCGGACTGCGAAGGTTGTGCCGTTGGTTACATGTAGATAACTAGTAAGAAAAATCGGGACCGATAAGAGTGAGCTGATAGGCTGCTCTCGAAACAAAATTCACGTAGGCACGCGTTTCGAAGATAGCGTTGCGTGTAAAAGTCAAATGTGCCCAGTAAAAAAACAGCTAGGCATTCCTCGAAGAGATGGACGCTTCTTGTGTGCAGCGCTGCTCTCTATCGGTGTTTACGTATAGGGGAAAAAATGGCAGCATATCCACGGAGTGAATGATGGAGAGTGGGGCGAAGCATTCGTCCGTTCATTCGTTCTTGCTTCCGTCCATCCATGCGTCCGTCTATGTGACCGTCCGTGCGTGCGTCTGTTCGTGTGTCCGCACGTCCATCTGTGTGTCCGTCCCTGCGTTCGTGCACGCATCCGCCCCTGAGTCCGTCCATGCGTCTATCCGTCGCTGTAGCCATCCGTGAGTCCGTCCATGCATCTGTCTGTGTGTCTATTCGTCCATCTATTCAACACTCCAAGTACCACCATCTCGCATCTTTTCATCATATATTCAGCATATGCACCGCCATCCAGCGGACATTCAAGGACTAAACGAGAGGTGGCACACGCAAACTTTCTTACGGCTTGCGCTTCGTGTCTACTTCCCACCTTTAACTACCTCAAGTTCATCGTATATGCTAGTTTACTGTATTGATGGCACAGCGGCCAACGCTCGCTAAACCTTTCTAAAACCAAGGAGGTTATGCCCAGCGAGTATAACGTAGCAACCCTTTCTTGTCAGATAGTGCTCAATGTACATGCCAATGGCTGCTAAGGGGGAATGAGAAACAGGAGAATTGAGCTTTTAGTTAACGCGCACGCTGCGAATTTTTTATTGTTCAACCACGCACAGATGAAATCTCTCACCGGCACCACCTTGGAGGTCAAAATGTAAGACTGGTCACACACTATGACTACTCCTACGACTACGAGGGACGAACAAATGCCGATAAGATAAAAGTCCGAGCAAGCCGTTTCGCCGCGCCAGTCGCACAGCTGGACCCGGGGCCACGTCACGCTGATGTTGCCTCACCGGTCCCCTTCAAGGAAAAAGGAAGCAACCTGTGGCAGAGTCATCGCACCTTACCGCGAGCGGCCGCCACCCCCTGGACTCGGGCCTCCCGCCCGGAGCCCCCCTCCGACCCCCATGCCAGGCATCGCAAGGTCCCCGGACGCCCTCTGCTGCCCCGGAAGCCTCCTGCCCTGGTGCCACCTGAGGCTGAGCGGTCTCTGAGCCGCCCTGTGCACTAGAGTGCAAAGAAATCTGCACATTACCAGACCAACAAGTCGCCCTCCCTGGTCCCGCCGGCTGAGCGCCCGCGAGACCAGCGGACACGCCCCCTTCAGACATGGCAAGCCCAAGCCACCTCCCGGTGAGGAAGAACTGTTTTCTGTTCACCGCCCCCGATGGGGACGTGTCTATTGACGACCTTATAGATGCAGTTGAAGAGACAGCCGGACCTGATAGTGGGTTAGTCTTGCAACACATGAGGGGCGCGAAGTTCCTTGTGGGTTCCCGAAACGCGAGTCAGGCCACAAAGCTTATGGTCACAGAGGGCTTCAAGGTTAACCGGGAGCACGTTACAGTAGAAGCGGTAGAACCCCCAGTTACGTTTGTTAACGTATACCGCTTTCCAGCATATATAGCAGACGAGGTCTTGATTAACACTCTTTCACAGTACGGCAAGATAAGAAGTGTTTCCTTTGCATCAGTTCCTAACCAACAAAACAAGCTTAATGGGGTTAGAGTAGTGCGCATGGAAAGGAGCAGGCCAGTCCCAAACTTCACAACCATTGCGGGGCACCATGTCATGTGTGAATACCACATGCGCAGAGTGTGCGCAAGGTCTAACAAACCGGGGCACATGGCCACGGCGTGCGCAGCCGCTTATTGCAAGAGATGTGGTGTTTTTGGGCATGACACCGAAGGGTGTGTTGAGGAGTGTAAGAGATGCGGTGGGCGGCATGGCACACGCGACTGTTTCCGCAAACGCTCGTACCTTGCGGCAGCGCGCGGCCTTCCACCCGAGACGCGGCCAGTTACTGGTAACGACCACCCCAGCACCTCTCGCCCGCCTACCGGGACTGAACCGACATCAGGGCTTCAGGTCCAAAGACCCAAGACTCGGCCCCACACGACAACGAGTGTCCCGGACCACTGGCAGTTCGAAGAACCCCGAGAGACGGAAGACGCCCGCACCGTATCAGCGCCCTCGCTCCCTTGAACGCAGGCTCCGAAGCGGGGGACGACACGAGCAATAATAGTTCAGAAGGCGACCTGGACGAGTCGAGCGGCCATGAATCCGGCTCTCCGGAATCCACCCGCGACTCCTAGGATTTGTCGCAACGTGCAAGCGAGGAACAAGAAGTACGAACACCGGCGCTGAGCCCCGAGAACGACGAGCCTGCATTCTCTGGTTTTGACGAGATTAGTTTCCCGCCACTTCCACTTCCGACGGCTCTCCCCCCCAACCCTGAGGAGGTGCCCATCGTAAGCTCTGGCCGCTACGTCTTTCCGGATACTGGCCACTTGAGCACGGACCAGTGCACCTCCATCGAGATGCAAACTGCCGGCGCAGCCCCGACCGATAGGCGCGAGCGTTCGAGATCAAGGTCCCCTTTAAGAGGCGAGGACAAGTCACCCGGCGTGTCGTCGAGCCTACCCGCGAACCTTGAAAACAAGCCTCGGCGCTCCAAAGCACCCGTCTGTTCCAGCGACAGCAATGCCCCTCCCATTGCGCAGTCGCCGAAATTGGACGCAGTACCGGAAGCGAAAGGACACTTGCCCTCAAGCGCAGGCGAAAAAAGATAGGCTCTTCGCCAAAGCACCCTCCCTTTCTTTTCTTCTCCGTGTTTGCTTCAAGGCGAACACAAGAGCGGGCGCCGCGACACGGCAACACAGTTCCCCCTCCCCCCCCCCCTCCGCCTCCTCGCGCACGCTCTGCTCTTTAACATGACGCAACACACCCCTCCCCCCACGCTTGTTTCTGCTATCAGCGGTGGTCGCGCCGCCTACTCCCTTTCCCCCTCTGCTCCTTTCACCAGCCGAAGCCACGGCAATGGTTTTTGTTTATGCTTACCTGTTGCACAGCTGTCTGCTGCGCTTGCGACTAATCGGCACCATGGCTCCTATGAAGCATCACTTAAACCACGGAGGGCTTTAGCCCAACTAGCAAACGCGCCTTCGCGCCTTTATGTAAGTTCGGCTCCTTCGAGCGTGCCGCCCCTGCCCAGGCGGTCGCCCCCGACCCCTTCCTTCACTCCAAGTCGTCTCCCCACGCCCACTAGAGCAGATCATGTCAACTCTCAAGTTTGCCACCTGGAACGTCCGCGGATTTCGTGACAAACCGAAACAGCGAGACATTCTGACCTTCGCCCAAGCACAGGGTATTGATGTGCTCTTTTTACAAGAGACCAACTTGCGGTCGCCGTTAGAGGTCTCAACCTTCAGACGCGAGTTCCAGGTGGACGCTTTCTTCTCCCTAACTAAGTCAAGGGCCTGTGTAGTCGGAGTCGTCTTTACTACGCGACGCTTCCGGCAGAAGGCGTTTTGCATCTTCGGTGCTGACGGCAGGTCGCTCATGTTGGACCTCTACATCAGCGAAAGAAGGATTCGGTTCGTGAACGTGTACGCCCCGGCGACGCGGAAGAACACAAACATCTTCTTCCAACAGCTGCACGACCTTCTTTCGAAACCCGTCCCGCACGTCCTGCTGGGGGACTTCAACTGCGTCATGGAATCGCAGCGCGACGTCAGGGGACCGGGTCGAGGGGGGTCCACGTACTATGCTAGGGAGCTCGTGAAGACTCTTCGACACCTTCGGTTATCCGACGCGCGGCTCATCGCCCACGGCGACCTTTTTGTCGCAACTCGAGCCTCTCACCTCACAGCCAGTCGATTAGATCGGACGTATGTCCCCAACTTACTCCTTTCCTCGCTCGTGGGGTGCGAAGTCCTTTCCCCTCCGGCAGACCT